CATGTAGGGCCTGCAATTTTATTGGATATGAATTCTTTGCTCTTATTGTTATAGTTGTGTATACAAATTTTTCTCTTGCCTCACTGGCACTAACAACATCAAACACTCGGCACCGACAATACCAGTCCCCAGTAACTTTGTGTTGTACGACATTTCATTTAACTGTCGCCAAATTATTTTGTGATTGCATATTTTCGGGCGATTGCGCCATAACAAGTTCTACGTACACATATGCAGTATAGTGCAGTAAATTCAAGGCATGGTAGGAGCGCGAGAGACAATACTGGTGGGAACCTTGCACAGCACGCCGCCGACGCCGCCGCAATGACGTCATTAAAATACAGGCAATCGGCCAGTGCAATGCAACACTGTAGCGCGGTAGGTGGCGCGGCAAACTGGCCGCTGGCAAATCACTCGACACGAGCAATTTCAATAAATTCATGTGACATTCGTGGCAATCAAATAAAGTGTGCATACTGTAGGGCGCTTGCTGGCGAGTGCAAATTATTTTACATATAACTGCATTGCAATCAGTTTACCAAAAAAAAAAAAAAATACAAATGTTCGGCTTTTTCATTGGATTTATATGTGTGGCTTTTCGTCTATTTTACCCCTCTGATTTCCGCGTCATTGGCGCCAAAAATGCTTTAAATTGAAGTGTCTACCACTTATGGAAGGTAGATAAACAATAAAGGGAAACACAAATTTCGTGTGACAGGTTGGCACTAACTGACACGGTTGCGATTGATAGCTTGCGCTGCATTTCTATTCTTTGTATATCGATTGAAGAATACAAAATAAACATTGTATACTTTTAGGCGGTGAAGCTTCTTTTTTTTGAAAAAATGCAGTAAAATGTTTAGTCTAAGTAATTCGTATACGACGGTTTTCGGTTGAAAGGAAGCGAATTCTTCTCTCGAACTTTCTCAGTGCTCCCACTCATCGAACATCTTCGTCGACTATGACTAGTGGCTTATATAATATATTTTCTGTTTAAAATCCAAGAAATTTTACTGTCTGGAGGCAAAGAAACTCTAAGAATACCTTTAGATGTTCTTGGTGGGCTTATTAATGCAGTATTCTTATAAACTCTCTGTGCTTACAGTCCTTCCAGGAATGTGTGGGGTTGTAGGCAAGACAGGTTTTCTACTAATCACAGAAATGTAGCTAATGCAGAGAGACTTTTGAATGGTCAAACAAGATTAAAACGAATAACTGGAGACACCTCCCGTTTCTCTGCTGTCATTCCTGAGCTCTTGTTCTATCGTATCTGCGCCTATTGCCCGGAAGGGCTCAGGCACAGTCGGGGTTGTGACGGTGTCCTAGCTAATCTGTCTTATATCTCATTCCCCTTTATTGCCTTAGCGCCTGGTTCCCATACTTGTTACTGTACAGCGTGTTTTAGCAAGGCCGCAGATTTTCACTTATAAATAAAAAAACAAAAAAAAAATGCGCAACGCGCAAAACATTTGAATAACTTTTTCGTGTTGTTCAACTGAGTATCGCTTTATGACTAAGTTCGCCAAAGCCTGTAGTACTAATCTTCTGAAATAAAGTTAAAAACATCATTAACATGTAATAAGTAATTGTGGTCCAAGATTTGCCTAAGCCTTGAATCATATTATGTTTGGCAAGTCGGTTAAACTTCTCTAGACACTCGAAGGCTACTACTGAGGATGATAATTGTGCCATTGTGATATTCCCGTTCTCCTAGCACTAGAATCACAGACGTCAGCTCCGAAGCCCTAGGGTGATTTCAAGCCGTCTGTGTACCATTGCAGGAAACTAGCCTGGAAGCGCCTTTCCAGAGTGGAGGCTGCTGCACGGAGTTCTACATTTAATTTCTTCGCAAATACTATCGTCCGAGGCTGGTGAAAGTCTCTGACTGAACCCTAAGAGTGGCTATTGCTTAGGCCTAAAGCAAAGACTGTTATACCAACACACATCCATTTCATTTCCTCGATGCAGGTTGTTGAAGTCTCGTGCGGAGGCCTTCAGCTACAATCAGAGTTATCTGGTGATAGATCTTATGAAGTTTCGGATTTCAAAAAACCGATTAGTGTAGGTACAAAGATGAAGAGCGGGATATCGAGCCAAACGTCAGTGGGAGAATTGCTACCACTGCCAACCACGGCGGAGTACTAGATTCTACTCAGCCAGTGAGAAAGCCAAGCGACACCTGACGATGTACATAGGGTAGATCGACCAAATCAATATTAAAATGCAGATGATACTGGAACGTTTGAAGCAACTCGATAGCAAGATTTTCATTTTTTAATTGCTGGGTCTTAAGTATGTGAAGGAGCGGGACCTGTTTTGTTTAGTGCTGAGCTCTTAGTCAATTAGCTAAAGACATAGTTAGACTTGGCGAAAGCGAAATCTCTGAGGGAATGGTTTGCATCTTGCCCGAGCAGCCCAAACCTCCCCTGTGTCATTGTCTAGCTTTCGGAAGCCCTTTGTTCACCTTACTGAAGGAATAGACATTTCGAAAACTCTCCAAAAAGTGCCTTTAAAGGTCTACACTAGGAATGTTAATTCCGGAGTCCCGGCCTTTTTATTAGCCAAGAATGCCGGGATTTTCGGGATTTGTAATTTGCACTGATGGCAATAATAGAAACTCCTTTTCTTGTCCAGTATTGGCTATATTTTTTTTTTTATTTAATTATTAATATTTTTCCATCAATGTCTAGCTCATTATACATATAACACCTTGCGATATTAAATTTTACACGCAAAAATCAATATATTCGTGAAACCATGGGCCAATTATTGTAAAATTGCGTTTTTAGTTTTTCACCCTGACGTAAAAAATTCCAAAATGATCGATAAAATTCAGTGAAATGTGCTTAGAGAAGAAGTATATGGGAGGAAACTCTGTAGAATTTAATCAGATTTAATTTGTTTGTTCATATGGACTGGTACATATTGAAAATGTCATATTAAAATTTGTTCCTTGAAATTTCGCATTATTTGTTTTTGAAAAAATTATATATTAAGGACTTATATAAACTCGATAACATCCTCGAATTTCGTGCTTGTAACTACATCAATTTAAAAAATTACAGACTCGTCCTTGTCACTCCAAAAAATTTTATTTTTATTTACTTCTAAAGAAATTTCCTTCCTTCTTTACTTTTATTTGGTACCCATATTTTGATTCTACAACGCAATGATTTTTTTAAATAATTTTTGGAATCAATCATATCTTGGAAATTAAAAAGGCCTTTAAAATAAATCCTGACGTCAAAGAGAAAAAATAAAAACGCCACTTTAAATAAAAAAGTTGGTTTCAAACCCATTTATTTATTATTTATTTTATGGTAGGAGAGTTTCTCAGACAATTTAGAAGCAATTTTTTCGATTTAAGTTGTTGAAAACTAATGAATATCTAAATCGCGGAATTTTGATAACGACATACCGAAAATCCGGGGATCGTTAGAAGCCAAAAAATTAACATCCCTAGTCTACACTTTCTTCATAACACTGAGCGCCAACTAATGGTGTATGCGAGATCTTACGAATCAGGCAAGCTAAGCTGAACGTCTAATTTTTCTATGTTCCTGGTTAATATGGCCTATCTTCCGCGGAGCCCCTCCCTAGCGAAATTAAGTAATTAATTTTAATTTAATTTTGTCACCTGCACTGTGGTTAAGTATGTATGTATGTACATTAGGGTGCAACGCCTAAGAAAATTCGGTTTCCACCGGAGTTAAAGAACTTAATATGCGCTGAATAATCCTGAGTTTCGCCCAAAAAAAATCACCCGTAAATTTTCCAACCGCCCATAGTAAATACATGGGAATGAAAAGTGGTAAGTGAACCGGTTCGGGAAAAATGAAACTCGTGATAATGCTGAATATATTTTTTGAGACTTCCGCCAAAATATTTCGGAAAGATATTCAGCCTTATCATGAGTTTCATTTTCCCCGAACCGGTTCACTTTTCACTCTTGGTTTCCATGGTTTTACTATGGGCGGATGACAAATTTTCGGGTGAATTTTTTTTCAGGCGAAACTCAGGATAAGGCTGATTAAGATTTACTTGAGCAAGGCCGATTTTAAAATACCGCCGAAAATTGCATTATTTTGATTCCGTTGATAAAATTTTTATGCAGCCATTTTAAGCTTAAACTCTTCTATTATCTGGGGCGGTTTTTTAGATAGTTAAAATATTTTTTAAACGCAATTTTATACATATAAAAAAATAGATTTTTGGAGGTCTTTTCAAATAGGTCCAGCTCGCCTAAATCTTAATATTTTACCGAAATACTTTGGGGGAAGTCTTAAAGTATAATAATAATTATTATAATTTCGATGGAAAAACAGTGCTGACTTCTTTTTTTTTATGAAAAGTGATGCAGCCTACAGGAGAAACGTTGTTTTTGGTACTAACACTTTAAAATTTTTATTGAAGGTGTTTTTTAATAGATCCTGATGTATCCTCCCAAAATCTGTGAAAAACCAAGTTTCGTAAATATTGTTGGTTAGGGCCTTTGTGAATTAAGGTAACGATATGTATGCATATATAGGGGCTCCAGCTTTGTGCTATCGCATTCAGACATTTTTTCAATGGAATTCTGTGCAACTTTTAAGACCTTTATTGTTTTATTAACTGTATAACGACAATCACTATTGGATTAACTAACTAATTCTGTAGAATTTTAATTTTTGTTTCTCTGCTTCTTCTTTATCTGTTCAGGAACTGAAAAATTTAAATGTCTTCGGTTTCTTACATTCTAGATGTGGCAAATAGTGTTTGCAATTTTTTAGTTATTTTTTTTTTTAGATGTTTTTTTTTTATTCTTTTAAATCATCCCTGGAAAATTTCTGCCAGCAACACCAAATTATAACAAACAGTATTTTTTCTTTGCACCCTTTTTTTTTTGTAATTACAAATATTAATTTTGTCAAAATTTTAAGTCAGAAAGAGGGAAAACATTAACAAAACAAACAAAAAGCAATAATATTAAAATTAAACTTGTGGAAATTTTTTTATTGCAGATTCGCGACTTTGAGCACTAAAACATAAGTTTTCAAAAGAGGACACAAAGTTTCATATTTTTAACCTTGGAAAGTGAAGGACAATAAATGAATGAAGCAACATGGGAAATGGCATGAACAAGGTAAATCTAAAATGGTAGCTCTGATCCAGTATTCCGTGAACTTACAGGTTTTTATACGAACTTGTAGGAAGCTACAGGAAAAATGATCCCGTACTCCAAATTCCGGCAAATGAGAGCGATTTTTGGAGAGTTGTGTAGAGAATGAAGTTGCAAGATTTTACCCGAACTTTTTCTTTTGGTAAATTCATGAAGTGTCAAGCGATCACTGGTTGACGTTTTTACAGGAAAAATGCTTTTTTTTATTCCCGATATCCTGCCTGGTACAATTAAAAAATGTAAATGCAAATTCCACCATCTTGCAGAAACGTCTTTACATTTATTGCCACTTCCACCTTACACAGTGCCATCTGTCGGCTTAGCAGCGAGATGAATTGTGCAGTTTGTTGCAATTGCCAGCCCACAATAAATCTCTTTATACAGTCTAAAATGGAATGCGGATAATAAATAAATTTTAAAGATTTATTTTATAAAATATTGCGAAATTTTAGCTACTGAAAAATTAGTGATTTAATTTTTCTTTAATTAATTTTAAGCATTTTTTGGTTAAAAAATATTGCGGCTCGCATGCAACACTGCTTTCGGTGAGAGCGCATATTTTTCGGAGCTCTCTGCGCAGTCAAATGCAAAATGTAAACAAAACACAAATCAGCTGTTTTGCTGCAACAAACCAATAGTTGGCATGGCCATTAACTATTGCTAGAAAACTAAAATTAAAATAAAACAATGCACAGCTAGGAAGTTTGTAGCCTCGGAAGAATATATTACTGTTCTTTATACAGGCGCATAAAGCAGGATATAGGAAGTGTACATTCCAAAGTTTCAACGAATGCTGTCGTATCTACAGAGTAAAACCCACAGGGCTTAGGGCAAAGTCCCTCTGAGAACGCAGCATGGATTGGCACATGAATTTGGCAAGCGGCGTTTACTTATATAAAAAAACTTTGCTTCTCAAGTTATTCTCTTACTAATGTATCTCTTTTCCCATAATTCCAGGTACTGCCCGGCCTCTATGTAGGCAATTACCGCGATTCGAAAGATCAACAGCAGCTGGACAAGTATCAGATTACACACATTATAGCTATACACGATAGTCCGCGGCGTTTGCTGCCGGTAAGCATATACAACCACATTACATAGTAATTGCCACTTTTTAAATAAATTGTTCACTTTTGCCCCTCTTCCGCCACAGGACAAACACTATCTCTGCGTCATGGCTGCCGATACGCCCGATCAGAATCTATCGCAATATTTTTCTGTTTGCAATGATTTCATACATGCCGCCCGATTGCGTGAAGGTAATGTGCTCATTCATTGTTTAGCCGGCATGTCGCGTTCGGTCACTGTTGCTGTGGCGTACATAATGACCGCCACGAACTTAACTTGGAAGGAGGCGTTGAAGGTAGTGCGCGCTGGGCGCGCTGTTGCAAATCCGAATATCGGTTTCCAAACACAGCTGCAAGAGTTCGAAATGTATCGCTTGGTGGAAGAGCGTAAGCGTTTGCGTGAGCGGTTTCCTTCGACTGCACTGGAGCAATTGGATCGTTCTAAGTGTTCAGCAGCATTGGACAACTACCAAGAGTTATTGCAAAATAAGGATATATGCGAGGGAAATTGTGTTCGGGGCGAAAAATGTCCAACAGGTGCGATGATAGTATTGCCTTTGAATGGTGGTGGGGAAGTTAATGTAATTGAGAAGGCGGGGAGCCAAGTGCCAGCAAGTGGTAACGACGAAACGGGTGCTGCGTCAAATAATTCGGTGGCTTATATGATCTCTTTTGCAACTGAAAAGTGGAAAACTTTAAATGTAAATAATAGTGGTTTGGAAAAAGGCGGCGATGTAGATGACGAACCGGATATTGATGCTATTTGTGAACCGCAGGTTCAAAAAACGCAAGCAAATATAGCAGATAATGATGATAGCGATACTGAATCCGATGAAATAAGCTTTGAAGATAGTCAAGTTGGCGAGCAAATGATGGAAAACGTTTTGTACTATCGCCCACTGCATGCCGCTGAAGTGCCCAATGTATCACCAGCACCCCGCGAGGCGAACGTTGACCAAATGCTATGCGAAAAAGCTAGTGGTGGCCCAATTGATGAGCTGTTAAAGACTGTCAACGATGTTTAAAATTTGATTAGTATAATTTAATCATATTAAACCGCATATACTGTAAAAATTCACTGTAAAAGCACATTGCGCTCGTCGCTCGCTCAAGCAAAAGCTTTTATTATATTCTCATTTATTGCAAACTTATGTCTTGTATTTTCATTTGTATTTCACTTGCTTCTCTTTAAAATTATACCCGTTTTTCCACACACTTTCTTCATGCAGGTGTCTGCAATATGGACCCTTCAAAAGGTCTCTTCCGTCGACGACCATCCACAGCTTCGACACGTTCGCGCCTTCGCGGCCAACCCTCTTCGTCTAGCGCGTCTGCATCGCCTTCGATATCGGGTTCTGGCATTAGCAACGTAATCGCAACTAACGTCGCGCAATCATGTCCGACATCGCCAAGCCACTCACAGGTTACAAGACGTTCACTGGGCGGCCAAAAAATACCCGAAGACGAAGAAGCGCGTAGTGCTTCTGTAACAGGGCCAACA